GCGCCCCTCTCCGCCGCCCATGCCCCTGCGAGCGCCCGGCCGCCGCTGCCCTCCCCCACCGTTCTCTCCCAACTTCTCCCGGCCCCTCGCCGCCCGCAGTTACCTGCTGCCCCCCGTACGCTCCGGTGACCAGGGCCGGCAGGCGGCAGCGGGCGGGCCGCGGGCTGGGTGGGAGGTGGCGAGGCGAGCGCTCCCCCCCCGCTGAAGGAACTTGTGGGTTTCCCTCAGGCAGACATTTTTTTGCTTACAGAGCCTCAGCACCACGCTCGCGGCTCCGGCTCCGTATCCCTCCGCGCCCAGCGCCTCCGCGGACTTAACCCCTGACGCGCCGCGTCGCTACCGGCCGGGGACGGGCGGGAGGCGCCTCCGCGCTGGCGGTGACCCCACGGGCGCCTCTCGGAGCCGCCTCGGCCCCCGCCCCGGCAGCGGGGGGGCGGAGGGTGGTGACGGCGGAGCCCGGCCTGGGCTTGCGGGCCGCACGTAGCCCCGCGCAGGAGCCGGCGGCGCGGGGGGATGCGGGACCCATCAGCCCCCGGCCCGCCTGGGGACACCGCAACGGGCCCCCGCAAAACCCGCCCCACACGGGGACAGAGCCCTCCCCGCCTCATCCAGATCGCCGGCACAAACCTCGGCATGCAGCACTGACTGCAGTGGCCGTGCCCCGAAATACGTTATCCCGCTCACCCCGAATCCACATACTCTAAAATACGCCTAAAATACTTTGAATATACCCATATACCGTCTCATTTTGCAAAATAAAATTGCACGTGAATTGTATCAGGCTTTAAACGTTCATTAGCAGCTTCCTCATAAATACTGACCATTAAAACATTAGCGTGTCGAAGCATAAAAACATGTATGCTAACGCAAGAACACACGTTCAAACAAACTCTGCAGTTCTCTCAAACCGGATATGCTGCGGGTCTCCGTACGGGAACGGGAGCCAGCACCGACGAACCCTCATTGGGTCCTGACACTGCTACAGACAAATTACTTTGCCCCCGTCGGTGCCCTCCTCACGGAGCAGCACTACCCGCTGTAGTGGGTAGGGAAGATCCTCCCGCGTTCGCAGCAGCCCGGGCAGAGCACGGTGACCCAGCCTGCAGAGCCCCCAGGCGGCACCTACTCGCCACGGCCCGGCTCGGGGCCTGCTCTTTCCTGACCCGGGCTACCTATGACGGCCAGAATTAACAAATAGCCATCTCGGCAGATACTGGCGTATAGTTCTTTCTGAACAAGGGGACTTACAGAACACAAGGACAGAGGGAAAGGGTACTTAAAATCCTGGAGAACCTGAAACGCTCCAGAGAGACAGTCAGCGCTGTGAGCAAAGGCACACTGTGTAAGGAGCATTCATCCCTCACAGGCTGCAGCTTGGCAGCCCCCCAGGTTTGGAAAGCAGCAGGCTGCACAGAAAGCTCTCCAGCCTCACACCCGTCCCTTCCAACCCCCAGATCCCGACTGTGACATCTTCCGGAGGAAGGGGAGGGTGATAACAAACTTACCACCCCCAGGCAAAGACAAACTGGAGATTCTGGAGCCTTAAAACGTTCTCCTCCATTTTTCTCCCATATATGCTGTGTACTGGATGATCATCTGGCCTCAATTCTATGAATATTCATATATTTACCACTAAGAAATGCAGGAAGCAATTTGTATTAAAATATCAACACAATGACTCCCATTCTCTGTGCCCTGAGGGACATAAATATGTACTTTTTCCCTTTGATGTTTAAGTAATACAGTTACTTATAGAGGAAAGCACCCAGTGACAAAGATCATTATACATTTCATGAGGAGTGTCCTTTAATATATTTCAGTTACAAGGAAGATCCCCTATTTATATACTGTGAAAATACCATTTCTCTTGAAGTGTTACTGTTTAACCAGTACAGGTACTCCGTACCATTAGGACAGCTGCAACCCTGGGAACCACTGATTAGAAGCCTGGCTAAGTAGAGAGGAGGTGGAAGAAATAATGCTACAATTACTTGTACTGATGTGTAACTGTATCAAAATTAAAACTTAATTTCAAATACAATACTTCTTATTTGCCCTCTGACCAAATTTGTAGGCTTCTATTTGCAGCCACAAGTTTTGCATGGTAGATGCTATATCCTCATAATCCATGACATAGGGTTTAAAGACACACAAAATACCGTAAGATGTTCCATTTGGTCCACAATGATGTGTCACTTTCTCATGTAGATGCTGGAAGCAAACATGCTCATTACCAAAAGTCCCATGTAGCAGCCATTTTTCTGCATTACATCTCTACGGGTTGACCATCCTCTTTGAAAAACTTCATTGCCAAGCACCTGCAGAAAAATGATCAGAACATAAATGAAGTTGCCAGAAATTACTCCAGACAATTTAGCAAGTATCCAAGGCCTCAGGGAAAGTATTCTCTGGCTAAAAATGCACCATGAGTCTGACATAAAGAAGAGTGCTCTGGGGAGCCAAATTGTAATGGGTTGGCCAAATTAGAAATTTCAGAAGAAACTCATGTAGATTGGTGGACTGAGACTGTTGTGAAAGATCACAACAGAAAGTATCACATCCTGCATTACAATAACATTCTAAAAAGAGATTTAACCTAATCTTCCCCAGGTACTGAACATCATCTGCCACACTGGTAAGGTATAGAATCCTTAACCTATTCAGTTTTTAACCACCTTTCATGTAAAACTGATCAGAATTAACATGTACACTTGAAACATGGAGGAATAATATTCCATGTCCACGAAATACTGTCTTTCACCTATTCTCAGATTCTCCAATCCCTTTCTCAAGCTGCTACTTTCCAAGTATCCTTTCATGTCTTCACTCTATAAATGATTCCTATTCACTGCAAAGACAGGAGTTAAAAAAATACATGCATTGTAAATCCTTATCCTGTCACAGTCATACACAGGAAATGAAACAGAAAACAGGGGCAACATAAAAAAAAGAAAAAGAAATCTTTATGAGAAATATGACCAAGTAGGACTTTTTAATAAACATTTTAAAACATTGAAGAATTGGATATCTGAAACTAGGTTCAGACAATTACAACAGTTTTCCATTTGCAATAAAAAAGCATTTCCAGTTTCATTCCTGCTTCAATCCCTAGTTACGGTTCTTCCTTATACATGCACAAATGCAGCAAACATATTACACACATCGTACAACAATGAAAAGCACCCAGCTTTGCTGTGCCACAACCTTCCTTGTACGTTACATAAAAAGGCTGAAATGCTACCGTCTTCTGCAACTGTTACACCCTTTTTTCTTTCACTTCTATAAAAATAGGTCTTCACTCCCTAGGGAGCTGCGGATCAAACGGATAGCACAGGAAGATAGGAGCAGTTATAAGTACCGATCATTTTGCTAGTGATTTTGTGAGCAGACTCCATCAATCAGGGCTGAATTCCTGACGATACTTTCCCCGTCATATTATCATCAGTGAATTTTCTACCAATATAAATGAATTTATTCATCTTGTGGATAAACACCCTTTCCTTAGACAAGTCTTATGTCTCTCATGGAGCAGTGCAAGTAAACCCATGCACACAAAGTCATTCCTGAACTCCAGACACTGATACAACTGTAAATCTTTACAGCAACAGCCCTGACAACTGATCTACTAACAGCAAGATGGTCAGCTACCAACCAGAGCAATCAGGGAATTGCTAGTTGCCAGATGGTGATGGCAAAATTCTTCCACAAGCTTCAACGTGACCATGAAAATTAGAAATTACATACGGGACATAAAAAAATTAAGAGGAATATAAAAACCAAATCACTTGAGCACAACCCCCTGAAAATAATCACACTCAGATGCTGTTTCCACAGCCTTCATGAATTGCTTTCCACCCACTCCTTAAAGGAAAAAATATCTGATACAGCAGACAGCTGTTGTGCATTCAGGGATGTGAGAAAATGTATTCCGTATTACTATTTAATGTATCATGCCTGTGTGAATAAAATCATTAAGCTTGCATGTCTCCTTTTGGTTTATTTATTCTTAAATTTACACACACTGAATTAATTCACCACCACCACCCAAACTGCACAAGCTCCAGGGGTGTTCCCCGACAGAACATTTGACCCAGGATGGAGTTTGCACTGGAATGGCTCCTTTAAATCAACACATTTGTGCTCAGCCTGCATCCACAGCCTGCAGTTTATCCTTAATAAATGCTATTGCTCAGCAAATGGATAGCCCTGGAGAAAAGCCAGCAGACCTCCTTTCCTGCTCTAGCTTTTTGTTTGTTTGAACAAATTTCCACCCTCACTTAAACCACTGAATCCTTTCTATTGCTTCCAGCAGACTTCCCAGTACAGACAGCAATGCTCATTTGGAGTCCACAATAAGGAGAACACAATTTTGTTTCCTGCAACTAGCACGGGCGCAGCTATTCCATTTTCTCACCGACCCGTTCCTGGGGTCACCTAGAATCTGACTCAGGCCAGTAAGAACCAACTAAAAGATTTCTATTGTCATGCAGGAAACTTTTGGGTGAAGTTTTTGGGGAGGCACCATGTTTTTCCTACAGTTCTTCCTTCGAAAGCAGACTTTTTGTAAAAGTATCCTACAAACTATGTTATAGCTCTGCTTCTATGACCAAGCCTCATGACTGCACAGTGCTTGCTGTTATCAGTACAGCCCATCTTACAGATAACTGAATTTGCGGCCTCACTTGCTGCCTGCTATATTTACATCACAGTAATTAAAATTATATAACATACATATTATGTAACATATTCTACAATGGAAGAGATTTAGAACATTTGTAGGAGGCTATAGTGGTGGAACCTCTCACAAACGGAATTACTCATGAGGTGACCAGAAAGAGCACGCAGGCTGACTACTGTGAAATTAAAACCTGTTTCTATGGGGGCACTGACAGTTACACTTAGCTTGCTACTGCTCACAAATCACTCAAGTACTTCTGGCTAAGCAGGAAATGGGTGAAGGCTTCAGCTCGCCGTAAGGAAGATCTTCACCGACGGAATTCTTACACTATAAGGAAGTTGACTGGGGGAAAGGGTGGGCGACTAAAAGAAATCGCGGCGGGTGGGCCCCTCCCGTCCACGCAGCAGGATCGGGCCCTGCACAGCGGGGCCTCCCGCGGCCGAGCCTCCGACGCAGCAAGGCCGCCTGGCGGGCTGGCGCCCTCCGGGCAGATCAACGGGCAGCGGGGTTTGGGCGGCGGCGCAGAGCGGAAAGTTGCGCCCCACCGGCGGGTGCCCCGGGCGGAGCCTCTCCGGCCCGACGGCGGAGCCCAGCCTGCGACGCGGCAGCCCCGCGGGGCACACAGACCGTAGCCCGCCCCCAGCACCGCCCCGGACGCGCCGTGTCTCGCTGCCCCGGCCCCGCCACCGCGGGGAGGGCGAGGCGACGGACCGAAGTTGGCCGTACCCGCCAAGGCACCCCCGCTGCCCGGCTCTGCTCTCCGCTCGCAACGCCACCCCTCAGCGGGAGCGGCACCCCGCACCCTTCGGCCGATCACGGCCCCGGTGCCCGCCGCGGCAGCCAAAAGTTGTGCCGGTCCAAACAATGCGGGGAGGACTATTTGTCCTTCCGCCGGTGCCGTGTGAGGGAGGGGGGCGGTGGCGGAGGGGGTGGGGCTGGGGGGGGCCGCTCCTCGCTTCAGGCTCGCGGGGCGGGCAGCTGCCCCCTTCCCGGCTCCCGTTACGAACTCCGGGGGAGCGGGGCGCTGGGCGACCCGCCGAGGCCCGGAAACAGGCCGGGAGCCCTCGCAGCGGGCTGAGCCGTCCCCGGGCGCAAGGAGGGCCTTGCGGGAGCCGCCTCCTGTCCCGGCACCGGTGGGGCTCCCGAGCGGCTCGTTCTGCGTGGAGGAGAAGCCCCATCTCCGTGCTCCCGGGTGCCGTCCTGCCCGCCGCCAGAGGCGAGCCGTGCTCCCCGACCGGCTGCCCGCAGCCTGGCCCGAGCACGAGGTCGCCATAGGAGCGCAGCGTGGCTCGAAGGCCATGTGCGCCCTGGAACACCGCTCACCGTCCTGCCTTAGCTCAACAAATGAACATCGCCAGCGGCAAAGTAAATAGTTTAAATCCGAAAGTGACTTTAAATTCACACAGTAGGTGTTCTGGGTACTTGCAATGTTTAAGCACACCTTTTTAAAATTAACTGAAAACAATTAAATTCAGTCTAAAAACAACATGCTTTGTTGCTTTTACAGGACCTTGCTACTGAAAGAGAAATACGTAATCACAGGAGATTAACACTAGCTTAATAAAATTAATCTAAAATTATACTCTCTTCAAAGGGGACTAAGAAAAACCCAGTATGAGATACAGCTTAATTTAAATAAACACCTAAACATATTCTGAGGTAAAGCATTCATTAAATCAAAAGCTGACAGATCTCCCTGGAGTCCTCGGTATGGAGGTGAGGTGTGCGGGAAGGAGCCAGCATGCAGGGACAGACTGCTGGCAAACCCAGTGCTAGTGCTGTGCTGCTGCACCACGCTTAAGTACTTTTAAGAAAACTCATTTATAAATTCGGAAGACATGGATTGCAACAAAGAATCACATAACTGAGACTATAAAGTGGAGTTATTTTCACTGAGAAAACTTAATACCAAGTTTTATGTTTCCTGTGTAAACTATATGCCCTTTCACTACAAATTTTTATGATCGACTGCATCATGCAGCTCAATGTGAGCAGTTCTGACATAGCCCTAGGATAAGCATCCCTGCTGAAAGCAACTGGGGCAAAGCATCTCTCACTAAAAAGGTGTCTCACACAGGCTTTGGCTAGACAGTTAGAATGGTGCTAATGTGCAGAGAGGATAGAGCAGGAGCATCACCATTTTTTAGTCTGACTTCCTGGGGAAATCACTTGCAGACAGCTGCACTGTGTTCATGTGGCTGGATGCATTTCCTTAATAAATCATAAACTTATCTGCTAATTTCAACCAAGGAAAACAAAGAGATCACATTCACATGCATTTAATGGAAACAGAGATTAAAGCAGGAAAAAAGGAGACCCTGTTGGTGCACCTACTGAAGAAAAGACTAGTCAAGGGCAATCCTCGTCAGCAACCAAAGACCCCAGATCAGGATGCAAAGCCAGGGGAAGGTAACTTTAGCTTGTCTCCCTTCTAGCAGAACAATTTCTGGTATTCTACCTGCCACCGGGAGCTAGAACCAGCAATCTGTTTTACACAGATCTTTCTGAATGCTTCCCCATCTCCAAAGTTTCACAGGAGCCAGGAAATAATTACTTTAATGTAACCAAAAGCTGTGTAACCTGCAGATAATGTTTTCCTTTCTAAAACTGCTTGAAAGAATGTAACTGAAGTCTGACTACAGTCTGACTACAGCCATTCATCAGCCAGTCCCAGATGGGCCTCTCTCTCATGCATGAGATTCCCACTGAACACTAATTCCCTCCTTGGCACTGAAGGGAACAGGTTCTGTCCCTCACACAACTAATGGACCATCAGATGATGCATCCTGGGGAACAAGGAGATAATAGAGAAGACCAAATTTACAGAGAAAAATCACAGCCTTGAAGAACAGTAGGAACTCTATACCAAGCATATATGAAACTACACTTTAAATTACACTGAAAACAGTTTAATTTTTTAAGGTAGTGGAGTGATAATACATGGGGGTTACTATGTTTTTTTTCCTTTTTTTTTTTTTAAGGTTTTAGCAAAAAAAACTTAAGAGGTTTTAAGTTCTATTTTGAAGACTCATCTTAGGTAGACACTTGCATTAAGAAAACTGAATATGCAAGTATCTCCTTGTATTATCATGATTATTTTGTCCAATAATATCTGCAGAGCACATCAGATGAATTTTTATTTGGGAATACCATTGTGGGTACTCTCCATTTACAGGTTCATTCTAATTAATATAAGTATTTCTGTTAGAAATTAATGACAGTCTTGCAAGTGTTCTGTTCAGAGTCAACTATTGACTGACTATATTTAATGTTCTTTTTACATGAATCTTTAAAGATAGAGCTCCACAAAATACATCTTGTGTCCATCTATCCCCCTCCATTCTGCCCTTATATGGCTCTTAGCATAGTAAAATCTGTGGGAATGAACTCAGTTATCGAAGATAGTTGATTATCCAAGATCCAGAAAAGTGTTTCTCTGTCTCAGAGTAGAGAAAAAAAAAAATCCCAAACAGCAAACCCACAAACCAACAGATTCAGAAATAATAAATAATATGACAGGATTACTGTGCACAGATTATTGCTTTTTTTGACCATAAAGCTGTTCGCATGACAGACATGCAAATACTCAAGGCCAGATGAATTCAGCAATGATACCCATGCTTTTGATGGGTTCAACTAGTTTGCATTATCTCATCTGAGCCCCTCTTTTATCATATGTAGATATGAGACATCTTATGCATTCCTATGGTTTTGACATTGTCACGTGCAGATACTCATTGCAACTACAAAGTTTCCAGATGCTACAGAACAGTACCGCAGAATTTTATGAGTTTGCACTCAAACTAGAAACTAACATAGGGAATTGTGCATTTTATGCCATATAGTATAAGGTACCATGTACCCTATAGGTAGCTCCACGCTGTCTCAAGTCTAGAGCTAAAGCATGTTTCAAAGAAAGTGATTTTTGGGGGTATTACTAGTTTTACCTTTCTGTTTGGGGGGAGTGGATTACTTTCTAAACAGCATATCTATGCTTTCAGTTCTTTGGTGCATGTATAGCACTAGTTATAACTTCCAAAGCCACCATAAATCACAGGTAATCCTACCCTTGCTGCAGATCCTGGAGAGCTGGCACATGTCGGAGGCTTCTGAGTAAAATATGACCTTTAATCAAGTTTCAACAGCTTATAAGAACAGAGAACATACAAAAGGCCACACTGCTAAGACCAAAGGTCCACCTAGCCCAGTAGGCTTTCTCCAAAATAACAACCCAGTATAGTGTCCATTTTCGTCAGTTTAATCTCTCACACGTTCTCAATGTAGTGACTATTCAGTGGGATTCTGGAGAGTGGAGATGAGTTTGGCCCCGTGCCCCTTCCTGGTATTGCATTGTTTCCAGGGTAATGAGAAGGAATAATCATCAGCCAGTACAGGATGCTCAGGGAAATATGTAAGAACCAGGTATGAGCAGAGTCATCCTGTATCTGGCATATTCCCGCGTCTGCCAATGAGAAAATTAAGAATTTCTCAAGCAAGAAGTTGCATTTGATTATTGTTCTTAACAGCTATGGAGGGCTTATTCTTTATGAATTTCCACGGTTTGTGTTGAACTATTCTAACTACTCAGCAGCTTTACTTGTAGAGATCGTGAAAACAAGAGTCAGCAAGTAATAAAAGTTTTTAATACTGTCAACGAGGCAAACATATTCCATTAGGGCAGCTGTCTGGAGGTCAGTAAAGGAGATCCAAGTCTTGAGGGAGAAGACTTGTATTTATTCTCCATCAAATACAGGCTAGATATATTGCCATTAAAGTCTCAACAGCCAAGTTTGATTTCTGGCAAAATCTGAGATTTTAGTCACTCATTTTACATTCTCCACATCACCTTATTTCTAGTTGTAAAATTAAGGTTTTACAATATGGAACATACTGTGATTAGCCCAGTGTTTCATGATTAATTTGCTACTATATGCAAGTTGTTGTCTCTAGGTTGCTGGGCAGAACAAGCAGAATGGTTAAAGATCAGTCTCTTTCTACATTTGCCTTAGTAGGACCCTATGGAGGATTTAGGGATGTAGTATCTTTTATGTGAACCTCATGAAGTTCAACAAGGCCAAGGTCCTGCACATGGGCTGGTGCAATGCCAACCACAACTACAGGCTGGGTGGAGAATGGATTGAGAGCAGCCCTGAGGAGAAGGACTTGGGAGTGTTGGTTGATGAGAAGCTCAACCTTACCCAGCAGTGTGAGCTTACAGCTCAGAAACCAACCGTGTCCTGGGCTGCATCAAAAGAAGTGTGACAACCAGGTCAAGGGAGGTGATCCTGCCCCTCTGCTCAGCTCTTGTGAGACCTCACCTGCAGTCCTGCGTTCAGCTCTGGGGCCCCAAACACAAGAGGGATGTGGAGCTGCTGGAGTGAGTCCAGAGGAGACCACAAAGATAATTAGTGGGCTGGAGCACCTCTCCTGTGAAGACAGGCTGAGAGAGCTGGGGTTTTTCAGCCTGGAGAAGAAAAGGCCTTGGGAAGACTTTCAAGCAGCCTTCCAATACCTAAAGAGGGCGTACAAGAACTCTGGAGAGGGACTTCTTACAAGGGTATGTAGGGATAGGACAGGGGGGTGGCTTTAAAGTGAAAGAGGGGCATTAGGAAAAAAAACTTTAACTATGAGGGTTATGAGGCACTGGAACAGGATGCCCAGAGGAAGCTGTGGCTGCCCCATCCCTGTTCAAAGCCAGGTTGGACGGGGCTTTGAGCGGCTGGTCTTAGTGGAAGGTGTCCCTGCCTGTGGCAGTCTGTTTGGACCTAGATGAGCTTCCAACCCAACCCATTCTATGATCTTTGAGACAAGTACTGTCTCAAAGTACTTGTCTCAAAGTAACTGTCATTGTTAAATTGGATTAAAATTGGAAAATACATTGACAAGCTATTAGGAAGACAAACAGATGAACTGAATTGCAAAAACTATCTTCCATAAAGCAAAAACAGAATAAAAGCAGTTATAGAAAGCACTTGCCATAATATTGTTCTGGTTTAAGTCAGTGGAAATGAACCTACTAGCTTCAAAGGAGAACCAAAGTATAGCCTGTCTAGCGTCCCTTCAGTAGTATCTCCAGCACAAACGTCACAGCCTGTCAAAATAATTCATATTACATGTGGAAATTTTTCATTAAGTTGCATAAGAAAAATGGTGATTTCAAAGTCAAGAGAGTTCTCTTTCTAACATTATTTTGTATTAATCTCCTATTTTTCAAATGCACAAAAAATTCAGATTAGTTGTATAGCTCAAGGCAGTTCCAAAGTTTACATTCATTGTTGATAGTGATTGAAGTGATGGTTATTAGAGACCTGAGCAGCTGCATTGCCATCAGGGTCCTGGCTCAGAACTGAAAATTGAGGGGTTGCTGAGCCGAAGCTGAAGTTCAGAGCATACTTTTATCTCTTGCAGGCAAGAATTATGGCACAGTTTGCAAATCTTTTCTTTGTCAGACTCAGCTAAAGTTTCTGAAAGGCTACTGTTGAAGAAATAAGTTTGAATGCTGTCTTCCACTTCTTAGCTTTAAATACTACAAACCCTGTAACATTACAAACCCTGTTCTTACTTTTAACATTAGGGAAAATATTTTAACAACACAAATAGAGGACTTGCAGCAGAATCTTGCCCTCCTGAACCATCTCAAAGTTTTAGGTTTCTTTTCAGTGGAGCTATGATTTTCTCTCTGGGCTTTCAACTCTGCAAATAATCAAGTCACTCTGTATAGGTCAGTTTAATTTTCTTTATCTCAGTTGCCTCATATCTAAAATAAGAGTAGACGATAACCTCTCTTAAAAGGCTGCCAAAAAGAACTAAACTATAAGATCTTCAAATGAAACACATAGTAAAAAAAGGTTTTAAGTAATTTAACATTTAAAACTAGGAGTGGGTAACATCCTGCATATCTATATGACTGTATTTTAATTTTGGATTGTAGGATAGATGTACACAGAAAAAGGTAATTTAGAGAAGTTACCACTAGGGATATATTACCTTCATTTTAAAAAGCTAATAATGTTCATCTAGAAAAACCCTCATTATTGCTATTTCATACCCAAAGATTTAAAGACACACTGTCCTACAACTTCTTTAAATATACTTTCAAACTCTATGAGAAATTTAAAATTACTGCCTCTAAAAGTATTACTAGAATACATGGCCTGCATTTCCTAGCAGTTGTATACAGAAGCCACAAATTTAACTTGCTTTTTCTATGTAAATTTCTACTCACCCAATTTCTATGTTTCTCTGAGCATGTTTTAAAATATGTAATTTCAATAGGAAACAGTTTCTATGGTTACACCTTCTACCTGATATTTTAAAAACACTGCAAAACATATGTTGCAACTCAGTATCAATATAGCCTTGAAACTCTCCCTAAATCAAATAACAAAAAAGGAATTATTAGAATATCAGTGAAGTGAGACCTGCTTGCTGGGGAGAGGTGTTATTTGTGGGGTATTTTTGGTTTTATGCTGCGGCTGTTTGTGTGTATATCGCATTTATGGTGTTTAAACTGGAATGGTAAAATAGCATGAGGTATGTATATCTAAAAATAAGAGTTGTTTACCTCTTTGTCTGTGAGGTTGTCTTGGACAACTCCAAATAAAGAGGAAAATTCCTTTATAGTAAATTTTACAGCTACTTGGCATTTGTAGCTTATAAATAAAATCGAACATTATAGATGTTTACTGTGAGTCATTACTTACTTGAATTTCACATTTTCAGAACTTATTTTTCACCTCTCCATTACAGGATACACAATACCCAAACAGGACAGTAGAGGGTTAAGAGGTCCAGAACTATAATATGTAGCACAGATGCAAGTCTGGGAGGAAGGCCATAGAATAGTTAAAGCTTAACTCTGAAAAAGAGGTCTCAAGCTTTTATTTTCCATAGGAGAGACTTTATTTTGATTGATAAGACCACAGTTTTAAGAAGCCTATAAAAGCTTTCTTGAGACAAGAAAAGTTTCCTTTGGGACTGCTTTTCAGGCTGACAGTTAATAATAAACAGTGATACTTTGGTATGTAAACAATTCTAACTGCCATGACACAAAAGAATACCAGAACTGTTACCTTTATATCATGATATTCATGATAATGGTCTTGCGACCTGCTCAGTGCCGCCTTCTTTGTCTGACTTAGGTCTGCTGTTCTTAGGATAGGTAGTCATCCCCATGTATCTTTTGATTTGTCAACCTTGTGAAGTGCCTTCCAACATGAACTACCCTATGATCCTATGATTTTTCATACTAGTTAGTTTAACATTTCTTATAAGCCCTCACACCAGCAGAAAAATTGTACATGAAAACCCGCTATAGGTATATAGAACTTTCTCATAGAGGATAGAATGATGATGCCTCTGACCTACAGTCAGCTTTTGGAAAGGTTAGCAATGAAACATCAGATAGTCTCCCAAATGCAGAAAAAAATTAAAACAATTTGTTTAGCATGATGTAAAGCCAAATTAAAACTAGGACAGAAAGCTTTTGGGGGAACAGACACATGCTAAATAAAAGTGGCTGCTGCCACTGCCACCCTGCAGGGCCTTTCAAGATACCACGGAATGTGTCAATGTGATTTATTTTTATGAATTATTCCTATGGGCATTATGTATGTATTGTGTGAAGATTAAAAGGAGTTGTTTCTTTAGAGATACTACATTAAGAATACCACAATGTTATAGTTTAATTTTGTAAAATAAAAGATCCCACTCACTGAGCATAAATCAGTATAATAGAATAAATACTGTATACAAATTCCATCCCAGAACAATTCACAAGGCTAAATACATTTGTAAAAGCCAATGAAGGCAAAAATTAAACAGATGAGGCAATGAGCAAAAATATTTTCCAGTTTTGAAGCAATATACTCAGGGACATATTTCCTGTATTGTATGATTTAATTTTCTTAACTATATCTGTTAGCCCCTCAAGAACTTACAAAGACCCTGTCTTGCCTAATGGCCACTGGACCACTGATACGGGCCTGTTGCTGTTGCCACTCTGCTCGCCTGTATCTGGTGTCCTGTTGGTAAGGTCCTTGCCTAGTCTGCACTGTGGTCACCCCTCAGCTGCCAGCTCAACTTCCCTTAGGGAGCAACCTGCTCTTGCTGTTCCCTGACATAGTGCTTAAACTGCGCTCCTAAAGAGAGACACTATGGAAAGAATTCCTGTAGTGTTCAAAATGTGGAAAGCCTGTAATTAAGTAACTCAAGTCTTCACTCATCTTATGATGGAAGGGTAAGTTGCAGCCAGACTGATATGCCCTTTCTGGGCTTGAGATATTACTTTTATATAAATGACAACTGTTATAATAAACACACATATGTCCATTTTATCTTAAAATATAAGCAATGGGACAATTACTGGAAAATACTTACTGCAAGAAATGTGTTTTTCATGACTGAGACCAATCTGGGCCATTAACCAAATCTTAACCCATTCCCATTTTGTTGTGAGAGAACAGAACAAACATTGCGGGATTTTATAAAACATGAAGCTATTTGCATTACCTTTCAGAGCTTACCTTGTCCATCCGTTCCTCAACTTCTCAAACATGTTTTGAAGTGTTACATGCTAAGCAAGACTTTTGCATCTATACAAAGTAAGTCTCACTAAGTCATTTATCAGTGAAGTGTTAGGAATGAGTTGTCATTTTATGAGGTGCCATTTTTCCTACAGCATATTAAATGCAAGAGCATGTCAAACATCAGACGTATTGACACTAAGGTTTATTGTTAAGTAAGTCTGCCAAAAGCATTTTGTTCAGAATAATGTTTGTTGTATCTCTTGGAGCTAGAAGTCTGTATTAAATGTGCTGCTTTGCTGCCGTCACCAGGATAGAAGAATTCTTTCCCTGCCTCAACTCTGCCAAGAGCTTCAATGGTGTCAACATTCATCTATGACACAAACATTATCACTGCTAATGTGCAATTATACTTTGAGCAACAGTGGAGTTTGCCACTATACCTTTATCCATAATGCAAGATCAATGAATAGTTGGTAGTTCTAGTAGCCCCAGTCTCAGTCTCTCATTTACTGTACATTAAAGCAACTACATTGTCTTCAACAGCCTAAAAGGTTTAGGTATCTACCTGAATTTGTAGCCTGTTCTAGGCACACATGCTTTGCATTAGACAAGTGGGTGCTCTATTTCATACATGCATGGTTATACATAGAATTAGTCACTTACTGAATTGTTACGGGCAGGGAGGGGACGGGGACACACAACAAATCACAGCAGCTAACTTGGACATGAAAATAAGACTGTGTTGGGCTTCAGTTACTTCAATCTAGAAGGCTCTATGAGGCTGTGTGTATCATTATGATCCTACTGTATAATTCAAACTCTTTCATCTAGAGAATAGCCTAAATAAGCAGGACAAGAACACAAGAAGTCTCTAATTCGTGTAAGTGGGGATAATACTATGAGGCATTCCTTTAGTTTTGACCTTCACACTCTGAAGTATGAAGGGTTTGTAAAAGTGATATAACCATTATTTTTTCAGGGTTAATTTGAAATTGCACACTACACAGATCACACTGTAAGATCATGAGAGTCTGCATGTGAATATTATTGACAACTGAAAACCAACTGCAGCCCTCCCCTACTGTGATTCATGAGCATCAATGTAAGTTGTGCTTTCTAGAAAAGAGGACTTGAGGACTTGATTCTAAATGTGGCATATATTTGTCTAAGCCATAAAAATACTGGAAGGAGAGGCCCAAGGCTAAAATAGCAGGTGTTTTTCAAGCTAGAACTGAAATCAATTGGCAGCACTGCATGGGGGAAGCTTGCACAGTATCTTCCTGAACTCTTTAAGATAGCATTGGCAATCCTTATTTTCATGAAGATTATATACTTTTTTTAGTAAATCATAAAATATATCACTTCTAATCAGACCTTTTTATGTAAAAAAAAAGAAAAAGAAAAAAAGAAAAAAAGAGCTGGGCTTCCTGACAGAAAAATCTGATAATTCTTGGATACAAGCAAGGGTTCATATAAAACTGCAGATCTTTTTTAAGCTCTTTGAGCAGTGGCTTTATGATTGTGAAGTCTGCCAGGTTTTTTTAAAGACTTACATTTCAGAATGTAAGTATCAGAACTATGTGTGGCATCAAGTATTTAGGTTTTGCACCATTTAAACCTCGCAGCTGTTTAATTTACCTTTGTTGCATAATAAAACCATCTTGGAATAAAAAGGGCACTTTTCAGTTAAGACTAGTCAGAGCAAGATCACTAAATGCCACTTTAGCTGCATTACACAGGTCTTCATAGCGTTTCACAGAGTAGAAGTAAGAATTTCAGAGAGTGATTCTCCAGGCTTCTGAATTCTTTGTACTCCTCAGCCAGTAAGGAAAGACCAGAAACAGGGCTGACAGCAAGGATAAAATAAGTGAAACAGGATGCAATGGCTTACCACCTATAACTGCCAATCTTAATGGGGGTAGTGACTACAGCACCCTAGGGCAGGGTGGTGAGGGTGACCCTGGTCCTCTGTGTCACTGCTGAGTAGGAAGGATTAGAGCATTCCCCAGGTTGCTGACATCTGTTATAGCCAAAGCATAACTGCAACAGCAGATAATTTGTAAAACTCTTCCAGTTTCTCTTGCCTTCCTACCTAGCAGACATTCGCTACAGCAAAGAATTCTGCACCCATTGTAACCACATTTCTTGCAGTTCTTGCACTGAGGAGTGCCTTTGTCCTGGGCACAAGGAAGATTTCTGTCTTGCTGGTAACTATCTTTCATGCTACTCTTCATCAGTTGTTGATTTACTACAGAACTGCTAAGCAGTGCTGAGGATGGTCAGCTTGAAGTTTCTTCCTGTAATCATGACAGAATGTTTATCCCATCATTTCTTACCCATGTTTATGTGATTTTGGAGGTAGATAGTATTTCCAGATACTATTAAACAATTACATTTCAAAAGGATCGGGAATGTATCTTTCAATTTTTTTAAGCAGAGCATAGCCAGACTCTCGTCACTGGTGCTCAGTGACAGGACAATAGGCAGTGGGCACAAGCTGAAACACATTAAATTCCATGTAAGCATAAGAAAACACTTTACTTTGAGGGTGTCTGAATGCTGGAACAGGTTGTTAAGAGTGGGGAGTCTGCATTCTTGGAGACATGGCACTGGGCAACCTGCTCTAGCTGACCCTGCTTGAAAAGGGGCATTGGACTATATACAATTTAGGTGTCTTCCAACCTCAACTATTGTGATTCTGTAATTAGACCACCTTCTTTAATGAAGCCATCATGAGATTTATGACTTTTACTTTGAGATTGGGTAACTGTAATTGATTCAGCAGGGCAAGGCCTCATGATCACTTAAGAGTACGAAGCTGCTAGAGATTCATAGCCTAATAGCGAAAATGAGAAACCTAAAAAGCAAACAACAGAACTGTCTACCAGCATCTTTCTGCACTGGCACATCTTCCCCTCTGGTCTTGAACAGGCAGGTGTTGTTAACTCAAACCAGTCTATAAAGCTGCAGGAGTTTCACAAGAGAGAGATGTTGCTGAGAAGATTCTCTTTGGAACTAGCAGGATGTTTTTACTCTTTCAAATGTCCTGAGTGCAAACACTATCTGCTGCTTTCCGCACAGCATTTGTAGGTGTTACTGGTATATGAAAGGGGAATTTAAAGAGTGAGAAAAATCACAAGTATTCAGGTTGAAAACATTCTTTGGTTTTGTACATTAAACACAGTTTAAAATTAGTCTCCCTCTAAATATTAGAGATTAAGTGTCATTCAGATGTGTTGGAATATTTCTCCCCTTTTCAAAAGCTACACATACGCAAATGTTTGGCTCCCCTTCA